CCTGCAGGGGCCCGAAGCGCCGCACAAAACGCTCCCAGGTGTCTGGGCGCAGCCCACTGCCCACTGCCAGTCGGACCTTATGTCCACGTTCTGCCTGGTTCTGAGAGGATTGCAGAGAGGGACAGGAGCTTCAACACCAAGATGCCAGCTCCCCAAAGCGAAGTCCTGTTCCCCATTCCCCAGAAGTCCTTTCCACTGTGATGCTCAGGTTCCCCAGGCGTCAGATGTCCCACCATTCCAGGATTCCTACTCTACCCTGCCATTTTCCTCTTGCTGCCTCTCCCTCTAACTCCCAGACAACTGTCTCAGTGTCTCCTGTCAACTGCCGGTCTCCCTGCCTTGGCGGCTCTGCCAGCATCTGTGCCCACGCACCGGGGGCTGGTTGACAAGATAACGGCATAACTCCCCGATGTACTGGAACACCGTCACCCTGTGCTTCTGGCAGTCCTCCCAGAACTGACCAGCTGAGAACTTGGACTTCAGCACCACGGTGGCCCCTGCCAGAAGTGGGGAGGGAGGAAAGAGGTGAGGTTAAAGGCTATCGGGGGAGCCCTGCCCCCTTCTTCCCAGATACTAGCTTGCACAGTAGTGCAGCTCCCCTGTGGCATTCCTTTTTTTTTAAAAAAAAAAATATTTTTATTGATTTCAGAGAGAGGAAGGGAGATGGAGATAGAAACATCAATGATGAGTCATTGATCAGCTGCCTCCTGCACACTCCCTACTGGGGATGGAGCCCACAACCCGGGAATGCGCTCTGACTGGGAATCAAACCCTGGGATCTCCTGGATCGTAGGACGATGCTCAACTGCTGAGCCACGCCGGCTGAGCCCCTGTGGCATTCTCACTTGTGGGCCAGCCAAGTTGGCCCTCTTCCTTTTCCACCTGTGCCTCAGAGAGGTTAATGCCCTTTTCCTCTCCCCATCCCCAAACAGTCCATCTCTGTACTCTGCCCCAAGTCCCAACCCTCTTCTCCATTTGCCTCCTCCTGGGCTGACACTCCCAGCTCTTCCATCCCCTTGGCCCTGGAATCTGGAGTTCTGTGAACCATATGGCCTTCCAAATTGCTCAGTCTGCAGGTCTGTGCAGGTGACATTTCTCCATTGCACCAGGAGCTCCTGGAGAATAGGCTCTGGATTCTCTACCTGAAGGACTCAGGGGCATCTCAGGTAAGCACCACAACAGGTGCTTACTAAATGTGTGACAGAGGACTGAATGGGGGTTGGGTAGGGGAGACTGACCAATGCCCAAGCAGCCCACGATGCCCAACAGAGAGCCAGACATGTGGTAGAGTGGGAGGGCCACGTAGATCACATCCTCCTGGTGGGCACCACACAGCTGGTAGAACCCCTGGCACTGCAGGACCTTCAGGTGACTGATCCGAGCAGCCTTGGGGAGGCCTGGGGGGTGGGGAAGAGATGGGGGGAAGGGGCTCAGCTCCATGCCCTGTCTCCTTCTTCGCCCCTGCTGGGTTTCCCACAGAAAGAGGCAGAGAGGCAAGACTGAAGCTGAAAGGGAGGCCAGACTATCTTGGAAATGTGGGAAGTTTAGGGAGGTGGGGAAACGGTCAGGGGTGAGAGGCTGGTGAGAGAGGACGCGGCCACTGGGATCAGCATCCCCTCTGAGGGGTTTGGAGGGGTGGTCTGGGAGTTGAGGAGTCCTCCTGTTCCCAGACCCTTGCCTTTCCTCTGCCTTACTTTCTGGGAGGTAAGCATGGCTACCAGCTCTTACCAGTAGTGCCAGAGGTGAAGATGTACAGGCACGTGTCCATTATGCTCTGGGGAGCAGATAGGTACCCGGGCACAGGGGCATCCACTTCAGCCGAGACCTCAGCCAGCAAATTGCTGATTCCAGCAGAACTGGTTTCAGGGCCTGCAGCCCACAGGTGGAGCCCCATTGCTCTCAGGGCCGGCAGGTCAGGCTCCAGGGACTCCAGGAACTCTGGATGCGGTAGGAAGGCAGTTCCGAGGCTCTACCTCCCGCCGCGCAGAAGCCTTCGCCACCCCTTAGCTTAGGTGCGTCGCCACTCTCCCCGCTTCCCCGGCCCCATACTGCTCTAGGGTGAGAGTAGAGTATGGACATCCCATCACTGGCCTGGGACCTGGAGCCCGACTCTTCGGGAATCCTTGGGAAACCAAAGACCCAGCTCCATCCCTTCGCAAATCCAGAGACGTGTCCCCACCCTCTGCGAACCCCAGGAAAAGTTCTTCGGTCCCTGCCGACCTCCAACACGCCCCTTTCCGGCCAGCCCCGCCCCGCAGGGCGCTCCAGCCTTACCTGGCGCCAGCACCAGCGCGCTCGCCCCGCAGCTGCGGAGGCAGTGCAGGAGGGGTCCTCGGCGCAGGGCGGTGGGCACAAAGGCCGTGAGCAGGCCGGCCTTGGCCAGCCCGAACCAGAGCCACAAGAACTCCGGGCTGGCAGGGAGGAGCAGCGCCACGGTGGCCCCGGGTGCCAGAGGGGCCGCGCCATCCCCTTCCCTCGCTGCCCGCGCCTCACGGCTTCCGGCTGCCTCCTCGCCCTCCCTGGCGCCCACCGAACGGCTGCCGCTGCCGCTGCCACCGGGGCCCCCTTCCCAGCCCCGTGCGCGCAGGAAGGCGCGCGCCGCGCGGTTGCTCTGGCTCTCGGCCTCGGCGTAGCTAAACCGCCGCGCGCCGTGGATGAGGAAGGTGTGCGTCGGCCGCTCGCGAGCCAGTTGCGCGAGGCGCCAGGCCAGGCTGCAGCCTCCCTCGGGACTCTGCGGGTTGCCTGCGGCCGCGGCCAGGGCGCGTGCTCTGAGCGCGCGTTTGCATCGTAGGGCGCGTACCGCGAAGGCCAAGTCTGCCGCCAACCAGCGCCACTGTGGCCAGAGGTGCAGTAGCAGCGGCAGCAGCAGCAGCAGGGGCAGCAGGAGGAGGGCAGCCATGGTGTCCTCTTCCTCGACTTGGCGACGTCTGACCCCAGCCGCTCACTGCCAGCCCTGATACTCGCTTCCGAAAAGCTGGGGCCTCTCCTTCTGGCTCGGAGACCGCTCCTCCCCTGGAGC